GCCACACAAACGTATAGACACATGCATGTTTACACACAGGAATGTGTCCATACATGGGTGAAACACATTCTTGTAAAGATGCACATGCTTACAGTCACATGCATGCAGACACACTTCATGTTTTCACACACATTCTGTCACTCCTGTGTCCCCTCCCACCCTCCAGTTCTCTCTCAGTCCAATTCTCTCCAGTTCACGCCAGTTCTCTCTCAGTCCAGTGCCCTGCTGCTGCCCTCACCCACTATGGACAATCCTCTGAAGGGCATCACAGGAGGGTTGTATGCACATGTGACCCTATGAGTAGAAAGCTGTGTGTGTGTACACGTCTAAGTTTGTATATGTGAATGTCACTGGTAGTCTGTGTGGCTCTAGCTCTGTGAAAGTGTATCTTTGTGACACTGTGGGTATTTTTCTGTGTATCTCTGTATATGCTTCTGGAAGGCCCTATGTGTGCTGTGTGTACTCGACTGTGTGAATGTGAGTATGTGAGACAGTGGGGAATTTTTATATCTTTGTGACTGCATTCTGTGGGCCACCTCTCTGATTATGTCTGGATGTGTTTATCTCTGTGTGCATTTGCATATCTGTGCCTGTGTACATGCCTCTGCGGTCCAGGATCCACAGTCTGGCTCAGTGGGCACCCCTGCCAACAGAGGCTGTGGCCTGGGGTGGGGCCAGGCAGGACTGAACTGAATACCCTGGCCGTTGACAGTTGTATTTACAGAGCTCCGAGTAGGACGTAATTGCTTCTATTAATCTTTCTCCGGTTGTTAATTGCTCACTTATTGGGTTGTGTATTATGCCGACTGTTGCTCTTAATTCGCCTCCATAGCTGCAGGTGTTTGCTGCCTTATTAACTGTTAATCGGCACGGCTAGGGATGGAGACTTAATTGGCCCCCAGAGTGGGACACAGGCGGGCCAGCCGGGCACTGCCAGGCTCACAGCCTGTCCCTGGAACCCTCACCTGTGGAGCACAGGTGGCTGGCCCACGGCCATCCACCAGTAGACAGCAGTTTTGCATACAGCAGTCAGAGTGACAACTGCAGAGTATGGCCCCATACAGTCCTATCTCCTCCAGGAAACCACTCAATCCCTTGGAACCCAGTTCTTATACCCCTGTCCATCACCAACAATCTTCCTTCACCTAGGATAGGAGCCAACCCCAGTTTTTAAATGAACAAGAGCCTCCAGGAGTTCTGCTGCTCCTATCCAGCACACTTTAGGGGTCCCTTTCGGCTTCTGCTTGCACAGCGCAAAGAACAGGGAACTCCCTCCACAGCACTGTTACCATAGCTGCAGCAACGAGAGGGTTCTCCACACTGAGCTGATTTCTTACCCCCCACACAAGTTGCAACAGAGGAGTCCTTACTGCCTACAACAGGGAAACTCAGGCTCAGAAATGGCAAGGGGGTGGCCCCAGGGTTCCCCAGTCCTCTCTGGTAAAGGTACAGACATGTGGCTCTCCAAGCAGTTTCTGCTCTCAGTCTCCCTTCCACCCCAGTCCTGCTCCATCCCAAACACCTCAGTCCTGGAAGGTACTTCCTCAGCCACCACCTGCTCCGCCCTGGTCTTCGGGCCTCCCAAGCTCAGCTGTCACTGCTGCAGCCGTCTCAGGCTCTAGGCCTTTGGAACAAGAAAGCAAGTTTTCTGGAAACCAGTGGGCTCCCTGAGAGAGACAAGGCTGTAAGGGGGAGGCGGGAGGAGGGTCCACGCTCACCAACCTGACCTCCAGCTTCCGAGGAGGACAAATAGGGAAACCAATAGTCCTCATCCTGTGCGTCAAATCCAGTCTGCCCTGACATCTGGAAGTTCTTCTGGTGTCTAGTTGGCATGTCTTAAGCGGCAGTGGAAGTTGATTTGCTTTGGTTGGGTTCTGAGAAGAGTTAGGCTCCAGGGAAGGAGGAAGGGAGTACCACTGAGTGCCTACTATTAAGGAATGAGACCACTACTACTCCTGCCGCCCTCCTCCCCCCAACTTTGCCCAGTTCACAAGACAGGAGGAAAGAGAGAAAGCAAAAAGTTGGAAAAAAACAAAAGTAAGATAAATAGCCAGACAACCTTGGCACCACCACCCAGCCCTAGGAGTTAAAAAAAAGTAATAGTAATAACATCAACCCCTGACCTAAACTACTTGTGTTATCCGTAAATTCCAGATGCTGTATGAAAAAAGCATTATAAAACTTTCTGTTCTGTTAGCTGATGCATGTAGCCCCCAGTCACGTTTCCCATGCTTGCTTGATTTATCACGACCCTTTCACGTGGACCCCTTAAAGTTGTAAGCCTTTAAAAAGGTCAAGAATTTCTTTTTCGGGCAGCTCGGCTTTTAAGATGCGAATCTGTGGACGGTCCCAGCAGAATAAACCACTTCCTTCTGTGATCCGGTGTCTGAGGAGTTTTGTCTGTGGCTCGTCCTGCTACACTATATGCCAGAAAGCAGCAATTGGTGTGTGTAAAAGTGGCATCCCGTTTAACCCTCCCGGAACCTGGTAAGTTAGGGATTAGTATCCCTGTTTACAGAGAAAAAAACTGAGCCACAGAGAGGGCAACGAAACGTGTGCAAGGCCACACAGCCAGAAAAGGGCAGAATTGGAGTGCCAACAAGGCCTGGCATTGCTTGGGAAGCTGAGTGTCTTCAGTCAGGGATATCTGGATGGATTCATGCTAAGGGTTCAATAAGGGGACGTGGGGAAAGGGAACTGATGGTCACTATCACAGCTCACTCATCCACCCCACGTATGAGAACACGGACAGGCGAAACACGCATGCGCAGCCCATGTGCCCATCAGACGGGATAAGGAAGCAGCAAAGAGAACCGTCCAGGGATAGTTGCCCCAACAAGTTCCGGCCCCGCCTCTATGTTAATGACATGCAGATATATGTAAATTTGTACAAGCAACCGCTCAAACCTTTGGGAGCAATGGGGTGACACAGGAGCAGTTGCTATGGAAATCCAAAAGCGATACCCGCTCTGCGCCCCCACCCCACAACAGGCAGGCGCACAGACACGTGCACAAAGACGCAGCGTTCTTCACTCCGGAGCCAAGAGGCTCACGGAGTGACAGTGTGTGTGAACCGGAAGGACCCTCAGAAACTGCGTCCAGCTGGGGGAAGCTCAGGCCCGAAGAAAGTCACCGGGAGAGCAGCGTCGCGATCCCTGGTAGCCTGGGGCGCCTTCCACTAAAACCCAGGGCGCAAGGTGTCCGTTCTGGGTCCGGGCCGATTCCAGCTCCGGCCTAGCAACTAGACCCGCCCAGCGTTGCATAGCAACGTCCCTGGAGCCTAGCAACCACCAGCCACGCCCCCTAGCAACGTCATGCCTAATCCTCGCTCCAGGCCTTTGCCAAGACAGAGAGGCAAGGGGCTCGTGGACTGGGGCCAAAAGGTGGCGAGGGTGGGGGAGGGTGTAATGTTTAGCAGGCTGCAGGATTGCGGGGCCCACCTACAGCCCTTCCACGGGCGAGCTGTTACAGAGCCGCGTTATCACCCCCATTTACAGAGGGGAAAACTGAAGCCCCCAAAGGACATCCCTGCCCAGAGTACAGAGCTCGCTCTTCCCTGCGTGCTCCAGGAGAGCGGCTCTGGCAGCTCTCTGGAGGAAGCCCTGGGCCTGGAGGGGAGGTGGTGCACAGTCGTTTCCCTCCGTACCAACTGCATTAGGAAAACCACCCAAACTGTGGGCTCAAAACGGAGCTGTAGGTTTGCATAGTAATTTGCGTCATTTGCATATAGTGCGGAGGCTGCGGCACTCCCAGGCCATTCCGAGCCGGAAAAGTTCCCGAAGGAGCCCCGCTTCCTCCCCCGGTTCAACTGTCCAGCCCCCTCTCCCTGCCCCTCACCCGCACTGCACCCGCATCCCATGCCGCCCCCGCTTCCAACTCCTTCCGCTGAGTTCCCGCACCTCGCCCCACCCCCAGCTTTGACTCCGGTCCTGCCAGCCCCGACCTCCATCCCAAGGCCGAGGGCCCCCTCTGCTGTCTTCCGCCGGTAGGGCAGCCGCAGAGCTCATGGGGCAGAGAAGAGGGGCTCCCCCAACCCAACATCGCCCCACCCCTCCCAGTCCGGCAGGGTCCAGGGAGAGGCCTGTACATGGGTGGACGTTGCGAAGGGGTGGGCAAGGAGGGAGTTAGGGCCCTTCTGGGCCCGGGGCGAAGGGTGGGGTTCTAGAGGTTCTCTCCTGGAAGCCAGGCCCCTTTCCCCACGCTGGGTTGGTTTGGCCCTGGCAGCTGGTTCCCCCATCAGTCCGCAGACTCAGTTCTCACGACGTACACCCCACATGAGACACTTGACAGTTACAGCTGCTGTTAGAAGATTATTCTAGCCCCAAGGCAAGGCAGCACCATCCAAGCCTAATAGCAGTCTCCAACCCCACCCTGAATGCCCACCACCAAGGCTAAGACCTTTGACATTTTCTAATACCAGTCTCTGGGATCTGGCAAGAGATACAGAGAGGAGTCACTCAATCTGGATCTCCTGACTTCCTCAACAGAGACCTACACACAGGCAGGCCATGAAACTCACACAGATACTCACGCATGCTTGCAGGCACACCCATGCACAGAGATCCCCCAGAAGCACATAGACACAGAGACTCGGAGGGAATAGGGTGGAGGTATGTACTGTCCTTCCCCATCTAGTCAAAGGAAAAAGATCTTAGTATTAACTGAAAAATTTAAAAACCACTGCAACTTGCTCTTTTTTTCTCTCTAGCAATCTCTTGATGTCTGTGATCCTCCAAAAGGCTCTGTCCATTTCTCTCTCCACCCCCAACCTTGGTCCTACTGTCTTTCCCACCACTTCCTCTTCCTTCCAGTTCAGAATACTTGCAAAATGCCTCCAGAAACTACCGTGGCAATAGCTGTGCCCTGGGGCACAGTGATGGTTCAGGACCTCAGATCAGCAATGAACAAGGCTGCACATTTGTGCACAAGACACTCACTGACACACCCACCCAACCATCGGACCAGGACCAGGGGCTCTCCTGACCAGCTAGCAGATACAATCCCAATTTTGCCAAATTCTTTATTGAACAAAAAAATCAACAGCAAACACTGTCAAACAAGAAGCTCAAACAGGGCAGGTGGGTAGAGCTAACCATCCTCTCCTTGCAGCCCCGTCTCTCTCTGGAACAGGCTTCAACACTAGTGAGGGCATCAAAACCCATTCTGGTGGGTAAGGAGGGTCAGGCCTTTCTAGGGAAGGGACACTCAGAGCTAGCTTCATCTGTAATCCCCAAAGAGGAGTCAGGGGCTGGGCCAGGGGGCTCTGGAGCTGCAAGGGGGCTGGACAGACACTGCAGAGGGCAGGAAATGGAGCTCTTGTCCTGGGGGCACAGTAAGGCTTGGAGCTGGTGACTCATAGTCACCAGGGATTCGAGGTGCCGGAGCAGGGCTTGGTGGGGACAGGAGTCCCTGTGGAGGTGCTGGCCACGGCCAAAGCCATGACCAGCTGGTGCTACTGAATAGGGATGCTGGGACTGGCGCAAGTCTGGTTCTGGGGGCCATTGCCCTCGCCCAGGACCCTGCCAGGCTTCAGGCTCTGGCCAGAGCCTCCCCCTGCCTCTGGGGGACCTCTGCCAAGCACAGATTCCCCTTGGAGCTATACTGCCCCTGCCCTGGCTCTGCTGCCAGGCACCTCCTGGGGGAGGGGTGCCCTTCAGGGGCACATTCGGCCTTCTGTCATCTGGCTGGTAGTATCTCTTCTCCACCTTACTGTTGAAGGAGACCATCTTTTGAACCTTCCCCAGCCAGAGGCTGGACCCTGCTGTGTCTGGAAGCCCTTCCTTGGGGAGCAGCACAGCCAGCAACAGACTTGAGTGAGTGACCTCCAGACCTGGGAAAAGAAGAGGGGAGACAGGAAGAGCCCAAAGGCCTGTGAGGGAGAACTGTGTTCAGCTTAGCTGCAGCAGATCTGGAGGCTACATCCCAGGAAGGGCTTCTCCGCAGTGAGATGGGGCCCATGAGATGCTGGGAAAAGTAAGTGGGAAGATGGGACTGTCTTGGAAGATTTGAGCTCTGTGGGATTAAGGCTCATCCGGCTGAGGCTGGGATATGGATGGTTTGACCTGAAGACTCTAAGACTCAAAGTCTACCTCATTGTCTCAGGACATGGAGCGTCGAAAGGCCAAGCGCTTTGCTCAGGAGTGGGTAAAGCCCCACCGCCACCCTCGCTGCTTTCCGGAGCCACACCGTGGAGGGTGTCTGTGCGCAGAGGCCGAGCTTGGTCCCCCCGCGGCTGTGGTGAAACCTCTCTCCCTCCTCTCTGAGGTGACAGTTACAGTCAAGTGTGTGTAGGTCCTGCCTCTGTCCTGCTGCCTGGGTGTCCCAGGAGTTTCTCTGCAAGGGTGCCTACCTTGAGAGGCAGTGTGGTGTGGTGGTTAGGGGCCAGGTTTCTGAAGCCATGTTGCTTGGGAGTGAAGCCCAGTTCTGCTACTGACTGGCTGTGTGACTTTCGACAAGTCACTTGCCTTCTTCCTCCCTCAGTTTCTCCGTCTATGAGATGGAGAGTCTAGTCTAATAGTACCATTCTCATAGAGTGATTTTGAGACTACAAGAATTCGTCTAGGTAAAGCTTTTAGAACAATGGCTGGCACGCAGTTCATGATATCCAAGCATCAGCTATTGCTGTCATTGTTCTCACATTTGCCTGGCTGGGTAAGGAGTTCCCTTCTGAGATGTGCCTGCCTCTGCTGGGTAACTGTGTCAACCGTGCCTGGTCTGGTCACCAAGTGAGCAGAGGCAGGGTCTGGTATGGGGACTGGGCACTCACCTGGGCCCCCCAGAGGGCGCAGCCTGGTGGGCAGGGGCTGGAAGGCAGGCAAGGGCAGCAGGACCATCCCCATGTGCTCCACAGAGGCCAGGCCGTGGCGCTGCCTGTCATTGAGGTATGAGTAGAGCAGGCGGCAGTTCTGGGTGTCCCGGGCCCCATGTGGGCACAGCCTGATCACACAGACGTCCTGAGGTGGCAGGAGGAGAGCAGCTGTAAGTGCAGTCATCCTCTGCTCCTGCCAACACCCCTGGGCTCCCTGAAATCTGAGAACCCCATAAGAAATATGTCCCCATCTTCCAGAGGAAACAGAGGGACCTGCCCAGGGTCACACAGTGAGTCTGCAATCACTCTGGGAACTAGAGCCAGATATCCAAGCCAGGCCTCTGCTCTGGAAATGGAGAGGGAGGAGGCACAAGGGTGGGAGTAAGGTGCTAGGAAAAGAAGGGATGCCCAAGAGTGGGCAGTTACCTTGGCCTCGGCTGGGCAGATGCTGGCCAGAAGGTCCCAGACAGTGTTGGAGGGGATGCAGCCTGCCGAGCGGATCACGGTGGGCAGAGCCTGGGGGCAGGAAGGATGGCCAGTCAGCCCCCCAGCTTCCCACCACTCGGGGTGGACGCATTCCCAGCCACCTGGAAGGTTGCAGCCTGTGGCAAAGATGGGCAGGCAGTATTCCAGTACCCTCGGTGGCTGCCCAGAAAGCTCTAATTGCCCCATGGAGGTCTGCAGCCTCTCCTGGCTAATCTACAACTTCTCCGAAGCCCCTCCCTCCCTCCTCTATCCTCTGCCCTCATCCAACACTTTAGCTGATCATTAAGTCACTCAACGATCACTCTTAAAACCCTCCTTTGGGCCCTTCTTGCTATGTGCTTTGGGTGACAAGGAGTCTTTCGCCCTATTTGTCTCTGTAGGAATGGGACCAACATCTCATTTACTCCCATGCCTCGCACAGGGCCAGGCACAAAGAGGAGTGTCCATGACTTGTTTTAGAATGTGTGAGTGAAAGGAGAGGGGAGGGGAGGGGAGGGGAGGGGAGACGAAAGGAAAACAAAAGAGAGAGGCTGCCTAGGCTGGTCAGTGTGTAAGGGAGTCCCTGGCGAGGAGGGCAGGTGCACCTGGACGAGCCGATAGCTGTGTCCCGAGACCAGCTGGGCCCTGGCCCGGAACCGCTTGATGGAGAACATGTCCAGAACACCTTCCCAGGGTGGCATGCAGGGCAGGGCCTTTGTGGGTGCAGCAGACACCTGGAGCCCAGATGGAGGAACCCTAGAGGGAGGGACAGAAGACAGAGCAGGCCATGAGGACTTCCCCAGCACCTCCTTTCTTTTCAGAGCAGATCCTGTGTCCCCACTGTGGGGACTGGAACATTGGCCCAAGCTTGGTCTTGTGCAGGGGGCAGCCAGGAGGCTGGGACGATTAGTTCCATTGCACAGATGGGGAAAGTGAGGCTCCCAAGGGAGGGAAGACTTGCCCAAGGCCACACAGAAAAAGCCAGTGCTATGTCTGTTGCCCCAGCTGGTGGCCTCCCGCTCAGCCCTGCTGGGTTATCCACCTCCTTGCTCCCAACCCCACACCTGTCCTGTGGTTCTGTGGGAGGCATCTCCCTGGCTTTGGGCATCTCTGGAGCAGGCATAGGAGTTTGGCTTAGGGCTTTCTGGAAGATATTGTCCCCACAGCTCTTGGCAGCTTTGGAGGAGCCTAGCAGCTCATTCGAGGACTCCCGGTCTACAAATAGCAGAGGCAGGAGCTGAAACAAGGGCAGCAGCGGCACTGAAGCCAGTCCAGGGCTTTAGAGCCAGGGTTGAACCAGGTGCTTTTCTAGGTGACCTGGGGCACAGGTACCCCCGCTCTGCCACCCTCTCCCCAGGCCACAAATCCCTGTTGCTGCTGAACTGCATGCTCAGCCCCAGCCTGGCTGCCACCCCTGCACCCCTCCCGTGTCCCCTCCCACCCATGCAGATGCAGCAGTTGGGGTCTAGGAAGTGGTGGTCATGCTGCCCCGTGGTGTCCTCTGATGCGATGGGCAGGGCCTGTGGGCTGCAGTCCATGAACACCTGCGGTCCCTGGGAGGCAGAAGACAGAGGGGTAGGCTGAGAAGGTGGCTGGGGACGCCAGGAGCCCTCCATGGGTAGAGGGCCCCAGGATATGGTTTATTTTTCTCAATAATAAATGTTGTTTTATTACCAAAATACTGTGAACTCATAAAGAAAATTTGGAAAACACCAAAACTTGAAAATTAAAAAGAAAATCCCTTCTTGTCCCACCACTCAGAGACCACTGTTGATATTCTAGGTATTCCTTTATAATCTTTTTCTTTTGTGATTGTTTTTTGTTTGTTTGTTTGTTTGGTTTTTGGTTTTTTGTTGTTGTTGTTTGTTTTTTGAGACGGAGTCTCTCTCTGCTGCCCGGGCTGGAGTGCAGTAGCTCAATCTCGGCTCACTGCAACCTCCGCCTCCCAGGTTCAAGCGATTCTTCTGCCTCAGCCTCCTGAGTAGCTGGGACTATAGGCGTGCACCACTACGCCCAGCTAATTTTTGTATTTTTAGTAGAGACAGGGTTTCACTATGTTGGTTGGCTAAGATGGTCTTGATCTCTTGACCTCATGATCCGCCTGTCTCGGCCTCCCCAAGTGCTGGGACTACAGGCGTGAGCTACCGCACCCTGCCCTTTATAATCTTTTTCTATACACGGGGCTTGGGGGTCCTTTTCCTAAAATAGCTGGGATAAAATATTCAACTTAGTGTTCTCTTTTTGTCCACTAATAATAGCAGAGGCGTTTGTCACGTCATATAGTCCCCATAGACACTGCTGTGATGGGGTGAGACTGGAGTGGACGCTTCCCCTCTGTTGCTATGCATTTGGGTCATTTCCAGGTTTTTACTATTACTAAATAGCAGTGAGGACATTTTTGTGCAGAAAGTAGTTTCCTAAACTTTAAATTATGTCCTTAGGATAAGATTTCAGAAGCAGATGACAGAATCAGGGATAAGGAACATTTTAAAGACTCTTGACGTCTATTGCCAAATCACTTTTTTTCCTCATACTAGAAATAGCTTTAAACATAAAACAATCATTGCTTTAGGACGGTTTAAGAAGATTTTGAAACTCTACTCTTATCAACCACCTCCAGAACACTCTCAAAGCACAGGCTTTGGAGTCAGACAGGATGGGTTCAAATCTCAGCTTCCCCACCACACATATGTGACCTTGTGTAAATGGCATCAGGTTCCACACCCCAGAAATGGCCAGGGAATAGCACCGATCTCCTAGGCCATTGTGAGATGTAAATGAGACACTGCTTGTAAAGGGGCACATAGCAGGTGTTCAATAAACAGTAAAGATTGCTATCATGTGTTATTTTCCCCTCCCCTCCCCTCCCACCTCCTCTCTCTCTTCCTCTCTGGGGCTATCTAGGTTTTTCTCCTATATTGCCTTCAGTTTGTTCAGGGAATACAAACTGATTTAGACTGGGGAGCAGCCACACCCCTTGGGGCTCCTCTTGGCACAGGTAGAAGTTCTCCCAATCGTTGGCCTGAATATTAGTGGTAGGAGTGGGGAGCAGGGATTTCTGTCTGTTCACTGTCACTTCCCCAGTGCCTAGAACCGTGCCTGGCACCTGGTAGGTGCCCATAAATGTACTGACTGATTGAATATAGTTCAAGGGACCTGCCCTGCACCCCTCTCCTGAACACGCAGCTAATGAGACCCAGGTGAACATCTGACGCACACAACACTCAACTACAGCCAGAGTGGCCTTCTGAGAATGACCGAAGGGAGCCAAGGGAAAGTTCTAATCAACTGCAGGAGTCTGAGATGATGGCTTCACGGATTCTGGGGCTGCTGAGTCACCATGTCAGGCTATGTGCAAGCCAGGGCCAAGGGGGAGGAAGGAGCAGGATGGACATGAGGATGGAGCAGACCCTCGGCGCCAAGACCCCTAGACTCTTGTCACTCCTGTTGGCTTTCCAGGTCTGAGGACAAGTTCCAGGAGGCCCTCTGGATGGACTGCCAGGGCACCGGGTGGTTCCCTGCCTGGAGCATCCCTAAACCAATCCACTGAATACAGTGGGTCTTCATTCCTTCCATCTGAAAAAGTCACTGCCTGGAACAGCGCAGCCTGCTGCTTCCCAGCAGAGGTCTGGGCAGCATGCCTGAGGTTGGGGATGACTATGATGATGGGACTTAATACCACTCATGTGGGGACCTTGGGGTAAGGCCAAAAGGAGGAGGACCGACAGTGACAAGGCACTGGCAGGCCTGTGCCAGCAGCACTGTCCCACCCCATGTTCCCCTATGCATTAAGGATCGTGGTCCCTATTTTATCACAAACAAAGTGGGCCTCAGAGCAGTCAGGTGACGTGCCCAAGGCCACACTGCTGGTGAGGCGAGGCGTGGGAGCCCTAGGCATGGGCTCTGCCCAGCACCAGGTCACGCTCCAACTTACCACCAGATCCTCCAGGGTCAGCGTCTGGTCCACGTCCCGCTGGATCTCCACTTCGCCCTTGTGGGTCATTTTGGAGGCTGGAAGTCTACACGGCTCCTTCTGTTGCTGCTCAATGATATTCAGGCCCTGAAGAGGCGGAGCAGCCCAAGCTGAGCCCAATTAGGGGACCTCTGGCCATCAAAAGCCCAAATGCTCACTTTCCTCCCTTGAGGCCCCTCTCTTGTGAGAGGCCTCACAATTCTACTTCCGTCAACACTTCTACTTCCGTCATACCCTTCCCCTGGGAAGCCCTCCACCCTTAGCGCTACCTCTCCATATTCCACTGATTCACCCTTCAAGTCCTGCCTCCTCCAGGAAGCCTTCCTAGATTTTGCTTTCACCCCAGGTCAATTCAACCTCTGACTGTACCTCATCCTCTTCTGGGAAGGGTGTGGTGTTGCTGAAAGAGTGCAGGCTCTGGAGTTCCCACTGGGCCATTAATAAAATTCATAAGATGGTATGGCCTGGGGCAAGCACTTAGCTGCTCTAAGCCTCAGTTTATCTGTTCTGTAGGAATTTAATTAAAAGCACTATATTAAACAACATATATAGAGTGCTTAGCCTGGAACATGGCTCATAGTAAATGCTAGTTGTGAGTCTTACTGTCGATCAATGTCACTCTACCTGCAATGCTTCCCGAAAACCTGTCTCTCCTTTTCTAACAACCCCTGGAGGACAGGGGGTCTGCTCCTCTCTGGGGGGATCAGCCTCGTGGGCATGAGATCTGTGCAATCACTCAGGGCCCCGCACTTAGGAGGCCCATGCTTGGTTTAGCACTCTGTTGTCACCTTGAAATTCTCAGCAGTTGTTGAACAAAGGGCCCCACATTTTCATTCTGCACTGGCTCCCGCAAATTACAAAGGCGGTCCTGATCCCTGGCCCCCACAGAGCCTGGACAGAAGCTCAGCCTCTAGTGGACAGATTCACCTGATGGACTCTGGTTATTCATTCTAATCAGTTCGGTGTCTTCCAGAGCAGGGGCTGGAGTGCCTCGCCCCATCCCAGTGGCCTCAGCCCCTAAATCAGTCCCTTCTTCTCTCACTGGGCCACCAACAAATATGAGGTGAGCATTCTCCAAAGCCCGCTCAGTGCCACAGCTTCCCTGTCCCAGAGCAGACTCCAGGCAGGGAGAGACCCACGGCCACAGGGTACATGGGGACACAGCTGTGAATCCTGGGGGCTATGGGGCCCCTCCCTCAACCTGGGGTACCAGGAAGACCTCCAGTCTTTTCCAGGGCATCTGAAGCTGGGATAGGAAGAGAGATACCTCAGGACTCCAGACTCCAGGTCTCACCACAGTCCTCCCCCAGCCCCCGACCCCACAGTCCAGCTCCATTGAAAACCAAGTGTGTCACATCTCTACCAAGCTCTCCATCCCCAGTCCCTTTCATTTCCACCCCTTCTCCTGTTTCTCTTGTGGGGAGGGTCTCTCTGACTCCCTGTCTGCCTTCTCCGTTTCCCTGTTTCTGTCTTTCTGAATTCCTCCTCCCTCCTTCCCTGTCTCTGTCTCTCTCTCTTCCAACCTCAGGCCACCCACACTGCCCCCACATCCCCTCACCCATCCTGACTGCGCTCAGCACTCACCCTTTTCTCCTCCTGGTCCCGCCAGCGGGCCAGCTCCTGGGGGGCCAGCTGCATCGAGCTCATCCGTACCAGGTCGTAGTGGGTGACATCTCCATGAACCACTTTGAGAAACAAGTCCTGTGGGGGTAGGGGGCAAGGCTGCACCATACCCTGAAAGAGCTCCCCCACTCCAGCATCCTGCAGGGGCTCTGAGATTCAGAGAGGGGACCTGGCCCAGCCCAAAGCCCTGCTCACCAGGTTCCTGGGGTCCCGCAGGTTGAACAGCAGGCTGCGGTACTTGGTCTTGTACCGGCCGTTGGTGCCTTGCGTCAGGTCCCAGAGGGCTGCCTCAATGCCAGCAGCGATGCCCTTCACCACCTCCTCACTCAGCACCGAGTCTGGGAGCTCCCGAAGGCTGCAGAGGCCAGGGCAGGGCGGGGGGCACTGAGCCCAGGAGGCTCTCCAGGCACTTAATCCCAGAGGGAGGCAAATGGGTGGGCAGCAGGGTCTGGGCCAACTTGTTCCTGTCATGGGTGTTTCCCTGCAGGAACCTACTTATTCTCATCCCTACTCTGTGAGGAGGAAATAGGATCATTCGCCTTTTACAGATGGGGTTACTGGGGCTCAGAGAAAATAAGGGGCTTACTCACAGCCGTGTAATTAGTGGCAAAAGCAAGATTTGAAACCCGATTGTCTGACTCGCCAGCTCATGACCCATCTCTGGCCCACGGGATGCATGGAGGGGAGGAAGCTGGGATCAGGTCAGAGTAAGGCAGGAGTCAGGGGGAGGGAACGGAGCCCTGGACCTCGGTGTCATCTGTCATTGACTTGCTATGTGGACTTTGCAAAGTCTGACCTCCTCTGGGCCTTGGTCTCTCCATCAGCAAATGAGCGCTCCGGGCTCAGATCTCTGAGCCGCTCCCAGCACAGCCTCTCACTGTGTGAAAGTATTTGCTGCGGGTGATATTGACGTGGATGGACCTGAGCCGAGGTTGAGAACTGCAGCAGCTGAGTGGGGAAGCACAGCCTTAAAGCCAGAGAGACCCAGCTTCAAATTTCAGCTCTCCACTGGCTCTTTGTGTGGGCAAGAGACCTGGCACAGCTACCAAACAGGGTTAGCCAGACACCCAGAAGCCCTTAGAACGTGGCAGGGCCCTGGAGATGGGGGCATGTGAGGGTGGCCCTTGGGATGTCAGGGGAGTGGGGAGCAAGGTCTCACCGAGTCCACAGCACCTCCTGCATGGAACGGACAACAGTGCCCCGCACCCCGATATACAGGGATGGCTTCTCCTGTTGGAGCTGAGCTGTGGGGAGAGAGTGTCACAAGCTCCCAGGGGTGCCCAGGGGGAAGGGGAGGGGGCTGACTCAAGACTGACGGGCTTAGGCAGACCGGAAAGGGGTCCCACCCTCGAAGACCTAGACCCCTCCCTCTATCCATCTGGGAGCCAAGACCAGGCAGCCAGTGGCCCCCACCCCTTTGGGGAGGAGCTACAGGCTGATGGGATGTGGGGAAAGAAGAGTCGTAGCAGGGGCTGGGGCCAGGAGCTGGGCCCTTGTCCTCCCCAGACCCCAACAGTCTCTGGAAGCCAGGGGCCAGCAGAGGAGGCTCCCTCCAGGGCCCTTCACCTGAGTCCTCTGCCCGCTCCAGCAGAGGCTCCTCTTCAGCCTCCACTGGGCCACTCTGTGGGGGAGGTGTGAGGAATTGAGGCTGTGCTGGTGGGCCCAGCCTTCTAGCCCAGGGGACACTGCTTCCTCTAGTCACCTCCCCACTCCCACATCCTCCCTGACCCATGCTCCAATGAAGGAGGCACGTGGCCAGGGCAGAAGCACTCACCTGGGGACATGCAGGGTCCGAGGTAGGGTCGCCAAGGGCCAGGGAACCGCTTCTTGGAGGGTAGAAGGGGTGAGAGAGGCCACCAGGGTCCCCTGCTGTGCCTCCTGGAGGAGGCTGGAAAACCTTGGGGCAGGGAGCAGACAAGCTAGTTAGCTGGAAATGGAGGCCAGGGACTGTTCCCTCCCCAGATGCACTGGAGGCCCAGCCCCTCCCTCCGCCAGTCCACCCTGAATTCAGAGCTGCAGAAGGAAGTACACATGGAGCCCAGGTCAGTCATGCAGGCTGGGGCCTAACCCTGCCTCTGGCTATTCTGAATGACCGCAAGCAAGTGGCATCCTCTGTCTAAGCCTCAGGGATATCTCTGTGAATCAGGTGTGAAGGTGCCTCTCCCAGCAGGATTAAATGGCATCGCTCGTTCCGTACCTGGCACCCAGCGGGGCCCTGCGCCATGGGCCTCTTCTTTCTTCTGAGCCTCTGGGCAGGTGAGGGTGAGCTGACCTCCATCAGGTCCTCCAGAACCTCCAGCTTTGGCGGCAGCTGCCCCCCTGCCTGGCCGTGGCTGACGGCCCCCAGGAGCTGGATCACTGGCCCGGAACCCAGCTACGAGGGAGATCGCACTTCAGAAGCAAGCAGGGCCAGCCACTGTCCCCGCCTTCAGAGTGCTCGCCTCACCTGTAATTGTAACCTCCCACTGGACTATAAGCTCCTTGAGGATAGAGAATACGCCTGTCTTGGTTCCCCCTGAATTCCCAATGCTTGGAAAAGGCCTGGCACATAGTGTTCAGTGAATGCTTGCGACCTGGCTAGCCTCTGTCCCAAGAGAGGAGCCTGTCTCCATCCCCATCCTTTCTCAACTTCCCCCTAACCCCCAGTCACATTCACAGTTAGCTGGGCTCTGTGCCAGGACCCTCTCACCCTCCTTCTGACCACAGATGCATCTCATCAGAAGGGACATGCCTTGTTCTGACTCCACCTCCTCCTGTTCAAAGCTCTGTCGTGACCCTTTCAGGGGTCACTGACTTGTCTGCCTCTCCCTTGAAGCAGCCAAATGTAGTCATCTGTAAGGCTTACACTCTGTAAGGCTGCTGATCACTCCTCTATTGCTGATTAAAGAAATCCTTTCATGACCATTTCAAGGTGCACAGATTTTGTTCTTCTAATGAACTATGGAGTCTATCCTGCTCCCCTTTTTGCTATGCCTGCCAGGAAGCTCAGTGTTAACTTTGAGCCTGGCAGGTGTACCTTTACAGGATTGGTAGAGAGTAAGGTGTTATTGTAACAAGATCCCCCTTCTCCTTCCTCTTTTCTTGCTTTCTTTAGGCTTTTAGCCCATTTTAAGTGTGTTTCAATTATTTTCACTTATTGCAAACCATAGGGGATTGTTTTAAAAGTAGGTGAGTCTGAAGACTAATAATCCTTGAATGAATGATCATGAAATGGTCAGGTTCCAAGGTCTGCAGGAAACTAAAAGTCTAAGATCCAACATTATAGAGGGAGGGGAGCACTAGGATCCACTGGGGCAGGGCAGGCTGGGTGGGGGTAGGATCTCCACATCTACTGTGGAGGAGCCCTGCCACTCCACCCCACCTGAGGAAACGGAGGAAGAAAAGCAGTAATAAAACGTAAAAACCTACGTAACACACAAGCTTCACTCCATGGGGTATTTTCACTTCCTCCTTGGAAAGAAAGAGGATGCAGAGATTAGAATCCACAGGACCCAGCCACCCCATGGCAGGGAATTCACAAAAAGAAGACATTCTTGTTGAAAGGGTATGTGTTCAGTGTTCACTGAGTTGTACTTAAAGCAAAAAAGTTGTCCATCAAAGGGAAAATGGTTAATTAAAAAAAGTCCATCAGGCTGGGTGTGGTGGCTCACGCATGTAATCTCAGCACTTTGGGAGGCCGAGGTGGGTGGATCACCTGAGATCAGGAGTTCAAGACCATCCTGGCCAACATGGTGAAACCCCATCTCTACTAAAAATACAAAAATTAGCCAAGCATGGTGGCAGGCACCTGTAATCCCAGCTACTCGGGAGGCTGAGGCAGGAGAATCACTTGAACCCAGGAGGCGGAGGTTGCAGTGAGCCAAGATTGCACCACTGCACTCCAGCCTAAGCAACAGAGTGAGACTCCGTCTCAAAAACAAACAAACAAACAAAAAGGCCCATCAAAGGGAAATGGTTAATAAATGGTGACACTTCGCACTACGAATTCTATGTGGCTTATAAAGGGTAAGGAAGTCATCATAAAAATTACCACTTGTTGAGGGCTTGTGAAGTATCTGACCCCACAGGAAGCACATCATTCATGCTATTAAGGTCTCAGAACGACACCATGAGGTATATACTATTTGTATCCCCATTTTACAGATGAAGAAACTGAGGCTCCGAGAGGATGTGAAAAGTCCTATAGTTGCTAAGCTACAGAGCTAGTATTAGAACCTAGCTCTGTCTGACTCCAAAGCCCAAGCACTTAGCTGTGGGGCTATGTGGAGACATGGAAAGATTCATGGAAAGATGTCATGAAGTATTATTGGGAGAAAAAGAAAAAATAGGTTACAGAACAATATCTGTTGCATAAACCCATTTATGTACATCTATATCTATAGATACATAATAGAGGTTATCTCTGGGGAATGAAATTCCAGGGAGACTTTGACTTTCTACTTGTAGACACTTGGGTATTCATGTTATTCAAAACGAGCATGTATTTCTTTTATAACCAGAAACCTATTTTTTATTAAAAACAAGTTAAGAACAATACGTGTGGTATGCTACCATTCGCGTTACAGGCAGAATGAATTTTAAAATTTGTATTTGCTTGAATATGCATAAAATATCACAGGAAGTATCTGCAAAAACCTATATAACCCAGGCTGCCAAGTAGGGAAGCAACTGGGTGCCGGGAAAGATGAGTTTCACTTTTTTTGTTTTTTTGAACCATGGAAATGAATCAGCCTTTCAAAAAAGTAAACTGAGAAAGAGGGAGAAAAAACAAAGAAAACAGGGGTGTGTGAAGAAGAGCAACAGGAAAAATATCAGGACCAGCACTTCACAGTTCAAAGCCTTCTGGCTGGCCCGTCTCAGGGGTCCTAACGTCCACGTTATGAGGCTCCAAAACAACAGGCAGGAGAATGAGGCGAGCGAAGGACTATCAGACCAGAATACAAACTACGTATGTATAGTAAGTTTGAAGAAATAAAAGGAGGACACGAACACATGAGTGAAGGACAAAAAAAACTACAAAAAACAACCAGGCAGATTTGATCAGGAACCAAACACAACTTCTGGGAATGAAAAATGTAACAATCCTAATTAAAATTTAACTCAATATATAGGTTTACTAGCATATTAGATGCAGCTGAAACAAATTAGCTAACTGGACAACACATTTAAATAAATTATCCAGAATCTTCACACAGACACTGTGAAGCACTAAAAGACACATCACGCCTGTAATCTCAGCCCTTTGGGAGGCCGAGACAGGAGGATTGCTTGAGGCCAGAAGTTCGACAGCAGCCTGGGAAACATAGCGAGACCGTCTCTACAAAAACAAGAAAAAAAAAAACAGCCAGGCATGGTGTTGTGTACCTGTAGTCCCAACTACTCAGGGGGCTGAGATGGCAACATTGTTTGAGTCCTAGAAGTCAAGGCTGCAGTGAGCAGTGATCACACCACTGCACTCTAGTCTGGGTGACACAGCAAGACGCTGTCTCCAAATAAAGGAAAGGAGAGGGGAGGGGAAGGGAGGGGAGGGGGGGAGGGAAGGAAGGAAGGAAGGAAGGAAGGGAGGGAGGGAGGGAGGAAGGGAGGGAGTAAAGTTCCAGAAGCAGAGAGGAAAGAGAATGGGTAGAAGCAGTGTTTAAAGAAATAGGGCTAAGAATTTTTCAAAATTGATAAAAGACAAAAATTTACACATTCAAAAAGCTCAGTGAATCTCAAACAGAATAAATAAAAGGAAATTCATACCTAGACACATCAACACTCATGATAAGGAGATCCTTACACGCATAAAGAGAAAAAATAATACCTAACACTTGAATAGCACTTAAAATGTGCTTTGTCTGTGGCAAGTGCTTTACATATTAGTTAATTTAATCCTCACCACAATCTTACGAGGTACTAGTACTATTATCTCCCCCATTTTACAAAAGAGGAAACTAAGGCACACAGAGGCACAGGGAGGTTAATCACCTTGCCCAATGTCACACAGCTAGAAAACCAAAGAGCTGGGATTTAAATCCAGGCAGTCTGATTCTAGAGGCCATACCTTCGACTACTATTCTATGATCCCATTCACCAAAATACATTTTACCTATAAAGGAATGGCAATTAGACTAACAGCTACTTTCTCAATAGTAATAATGAAAAGCAAAACATAGAAAAATAGTATTTTCAATGTGCTTAAAGAAAATAACTATCAATTGTGGACCCACACAAAATACTTTTCAAGAATTAGAAAGAAATAAAGATATAGAAAAAAATCGAGAGCTGTTATTTTTCTTGATAATTTTGTTTTGCTCAATAAACAAAATGCTAACAGATAAACCTGAGGCAGAAGGAAGGAAAAACAATCCCAGATAGAAAAGCTGAGACAAAAGGAAGAATTTTGAGCAAAGAAAATGGTGAAGATGTTGTTAAATCCAAACAAACACTGATTGTATGAAACTATAATAACAGTGTGTAATTTGGGGATTTAAAAAGAAAGAGCTGGGCGCGGTGGCTCACGCCTGTAATCCCAGCACTTTGGGAGGCCAAGGCTGGCGGATCATGAGGTCAGGAGATCGAGACCATCCTGGCTAACACAGTGAAACCCCGTCTCTACTAAAAATACAAAAAATAGCTGGGCGTGGTGGCAGGCCTGTAGTCCCAGCTTCGGGAGGCTGAGGCAGGAGAATGGCGTGAACCCAGGATGTGGAGCTTGCGGTGAGCCGAGATCGTGCCACTGCACTCCAGCCTGGGGGACAGAGCAAGACTCCGTCTCAAAAAAAAAAAAAAGAGCTAGGGGCCGGACACGGTGGCTCAAGCCTGTAATCCCAGCACTTTGGGAGGCCGAGACGGGCGAATCACGAGGTCAGGAGATAGAGACCACCCTGGCTGACATAGTGAAACCCCATCTCTACTAAAAAATACAAAAAACTAGCCAGGCAAGGTGGCGGGTGCCTGTAGTCCCAGCTACTCGGGAGGCTGAGGCAGGAGAATGGCGTAAACCCGGGAGGCGGAGCTTGCAGTGAGCTGAGATCTGGCCACTGCACTCCAGCCTGGACGACAGAGCCAGACTCCGTCTCAAAAAAAAAAGAGATAGGACCAATTTACTGGATAACAACAACACACAAATTGGAAAGGTACACACTTGGAAGTAGAGCATTCCAAGATCCCTATATCATTTTGGAGGAAGATAAACATTGTAACTACCTTTATACCCTGATAAGTTAGTTATTTGTGCTCAAATTTCTTTTTTCTTTCTTTCTTTCTTTCTCTTTTTTTTTTTGAGATGGAGTCTCACTCTGTCGCCCAGCCTGGAATGCAGTGGCATGATCTCGGCTCACTGCAACCTCCACCTCCCAGGTTCAAGCGATTCTCCTGCCTAGGTCTTCCAAGTAGCTGGCACTACAGGCGCCCGCCACCACATCCGGCTTTTTTTTGTGTGTGTGTGTATTTTTATTAGAGACAGGGTTTCACTGTGTTAGCCAGGATGGTCTCAATCTCCTGACCTTGTGATCTGCCGGCCTCAGCCTCCCAAAGTGCTGGGATCACAGGTGTGAGCCACCGAGCCTGGCCTGTACTCAAATTTCTAAGAGAACCACCAAAAAAATATAAACTGAGGATAGGAAACATCTAAACTACTGAGGGATAAAAAGGAGTAAGAAAAAATAATCCAAAAGGAGGCAATGAAAGGGAGAAAGTGCCAAAATGCAAAACATACGCAAAGCACAAAATAGGCCAGGTGCGGTGGCTCATGCCTGTAATCCCAGCACCTTGGGAGGCTGAGGCGGGAGGATTGCTTGAGCTCAGGAATTCGAGACCAGCCTGGCCAACATAGCCAGACACTGGCCCTACTAAAAAAAATTTTTTTTTCAAGAGCCAGGCACAGTGGCATGCACCTGTAGTCTCAGCTACTTGGGAGGCTGAGGTAGGAGAATTGTGAGCCCAGGAGATCAAAGCTGCAGTGAGCTATGATCACGCCACTACACTCTAGCCTGAGCAACAGGAACAGAGCGAGACTGTGTCTCAAAAAAAAGCACGAAATAAAATGGTAGGAGTAGATGTAAATAAATCAGTAACCATAACAAATGTAAATGAACTAATACTTCAGAAAAATACAAAAATTATCAGACCTTTAAGGAAAGAAAATACAATTATAAAATCTTCATGAGACCCATTTCTAAGACATAATGATGCAAAAAGGTTAAAATAACAAAATGGAATAATATATGGACAGGCAAATCACCAACCAAAATAAAGCTTTGTAGCTATATTAACAATCAGATAAAACAGACTTTAAGGCAAAAAATCATTAGCGGCAAAGACTTGACTACATAATGATATGTAGTTTTACCAGGAAGCTATAACAACTCTAAACTTATAAGCATCTAATAGCATAAGCTCAAAAACTATAAAGCAAAAAATGGTAGAACTATAAGCAAAAAGACAAATCCACCATGATAGCACAAAAA